ATCTGTAGAGTATAGTTTATTTAAATACGAGTATTTACCACGAAGATAACGTTTATCTTCAAAACGCTTTTTGTCATCTGAAGAAAAAGATAAGCTTGTGATTGAGGAAGATATTAACGTATTTCAACATACAATCACACAAATCTCGCCATCAAAACAAGAAAAACGCAAACAGGAGGAAGCTATTTCTGTTGACTCACCTAGTAAATATGTTCATCATGCAAATGGAAGTCGTTTTGCAACAACAGAAAGGAAGGAAACTTCATTGGCTGTTCCATTTTGGAAAGAGCTAAATCATCCTACACCATCATTTGAATTTCGAGCTAATGAAATTGGTTGCTTTTCATTAATTGGTCGAACAGATGACAAAAAACGTTTTGAAGATAAACGTTATCTTCGTGGTAAATACTCGTATTTAAATAAACTATACTCTACAGATTTCAATAATATCAAATCTGAAATTAAAGATCACCTCTTGAAGGTTATTTTTCAAATTTTGAACTATTTTTCATGCGACATTTGCAGTGGAAAAAATGAGTATTTGAATGTGAACATTTCAAATAGTGGAAATTCAATAATTGAGTTTAACTTTCACATTGAAATTAATGAGAAAATTTTATTTTAGTTTATAAATATCCACTTGAAGCACTCAATGTGAATCTTGATTTAAAAGTTGGTGAATCAGACTTTACTTTCGAAGGACAAAGTAAAAGTATTGATGCCATGCTTTGGTGGACATTACGACATAAAAATGATATTTTCAAAAATAATCAGTAAACACTTATCTTTTACAAGAATTTTTTGTAAAAGATTTTTTCTTTACTCATAGATTTACATTTGATTTCCTTTCCGCGCGTGGAGGTATTCGTCTTATTATGTTTTCAATTTTTGAAACACGTGACGATTGGTTATTAGCTGTTATCAAATTTAGAAATGCATATTTTTTATGTGAATGTGTAACAGATACACAACTTAAAGTTGAACAAAATATGACGCCTGAAGTTCGCTCTTTTCGTTATTATGGTCACAAATTCGAAGAATATGTTACTAAAAGTAAATATACATATCTTAGTTGTAGATTATTTTTATAGCTTTGACTTTGAGATGATGCAACAACTGAAAAATTGAATCCTTCAAAACAGTTTATTGCAGTATTTCAATCAACAATAGGTTCTTATCGTTTATTGTATAGTGCTGAAATAGATTGTGTAGTCGAAAGATCACCATCGATGAGTGAACATATTGAACTTAAAGTTTGTGCTGGAAAATCAATCGATGATCTAGCATTTAAACAGTAAATATAATAAGTTATAGTGAATAAAACTCATGAATAACTATTTATTCTTTCCAGCAATCGCAAATTTGCAAACTGGTGGATGCAATGTTTCCTTGCCGGTAATAAATATACATTGTTCTTCTTCTGTAATTTAAAAAAAAAAATATTAATGTAATCAAGGCATTCAAACAATGGTGATTGGTTTACGAGATAATAATGGGATTGTTAATAGACTTGAACCACTACGTATTTCAAAAATCGAACAAACAACAGTAAAATCTCTATTTTAAACTTCCTTTATTGATTACAATTATTTTGTATTCATAGCGTACATGGACTCGGCAATCATTCGTCAATTTCTTTTTACATTTTACTCAATTTCTTAAAAAACATGTTACAGATGAATATTCACTTGATCATAAGTAAACTTTGCTCTATATAAAATCTGTTGAAATAATGAATTTTTTTCTTTTATATAGAGATGCGGTCCTATTTTATTTTTCACCATCTTCTAAAACAATTACGATGACAAAATCATCTGATCCAAAATACCAATTTTTGCCCGATTGGTTTTTTAACGGATTTCTTTAGGCAATCACATGTTGTACATATATTATATAATACGTCGTCAAAATATTTGTTTGTTGAAATATCCCTATTTAACCATGATTCTTTTCACCATATCAAACATAACTTCCATCTTTTCGAATATAAAAAGGTTTAACAGACGAATGAAAGTATGATTATCTACCAAGGGTGTGGATGTCTTAGAACAGAAGATCCACTTCTACACCCACCCCACACCCACACCCCACACCCACACCCACACCCACACCCACACCCACACCCCACACCCACACCCACACCCAACCTTCAAACATTTTTTTTGTATTGTGGTATTCGAACTCAAATGCATGCAGGTAAATCGTGAGATGTTTCTAACAGAAATACTTACTTGATTTCGTCGTTCGTCTGTTTTTTTTAATGTGGTGAGCGATGAAAAGTGGAGAGCTTTATATTTTTCGGTCTTTTTTTCTTCTGCCACTTCTACCAGTTGTACAACTTGGCTGTAACCATGACATCATTATTCGATGGGATGTGGATAGTGATTGTTTATGATAAAAATCCCACAACACGGCATGAATCATTCAGCGGAAGAAATTCGTACAAGGACAAAATCGACGTATTTTGGTATGGAATCCTCCAGAATTATGGTTGTGAATGTGAGTGTGCTCGTAAGTGCGAATATGTATGTGGTTGTCGGTGTAGGTTAGCTGAATTCATACCCAGCCTTACACTCACACCCTCTAATAAACCCGTGCTCATATTCTGATTTCAAAACGATAACATCGGAATAAAAGCTTGTTAGCGCAGCCGCTTTAGGACTGAAATGTGCAACTCACAAACTCTTCTTAACCTTCATTATGTTTTAAATTTCTAACTTGGTATATTTTGGAAAAAGAAAATTAAAAAGTCTGACGCCGATTCTCTTCAATTGCTAAATACTGTAATGGAGGGGTGTCTGTAATGAAGGATGTCTGCAATGAAAGATGTCTGCGATGGGGAATGTCTGTAATCGGGAGGTTGTCTGCAATGGGGAGGAGTGGGGAGCGAAGAGCCGCCTAACGTTTGACTTAAAACTTACACTCACTATTGTCTTCGAAAATATACACGAGTTCCACAAAACACTTCAGTCTGTCATACCAAACTTCAACTTCAGCATATAAGAAAATGTTTATGAGAAAGAGGGAAAAGACAATGTCGTGAAAAGGTGTGGGAGTGGATGGGTGTGGGGCGTGGGTGTGGCGGTGTGGGTGTCGGTGTAGGTGTGGGTGTGGGGTGTGTGGGTGTGTGGGATGTGGGTGTGGGGTGTGTGGGTGTGTGGGATGTGGGTGTGGGTGTGGTTATAGATTAAAAGAAAATTCACACCCGCACCAACCCACACCCACACCCACACCCATACCTACACCCACACCCCACACCCACACCCACACCCACACCCCACCCTAAAAATTTTATGGAAACTTAACGATTTTTTTCTTTAGATAGATCGCGGTGAAAGTGAAATGGATAGTGGGCTATGCGGTAAAATAGTTGATGATGGGAATTTGAAGTATTTTGGGAGTAGACATTTTTCTAAAAGGATCATTTTTGTTATTAATACGTACGATGTGAGTGATGCACTTCTACTTATTGAAGGTATTAGAAGTGTGTATATAATTTGTATGCTTTCAGTGTTCGTTGCTTTTGATCACTGATGTGGGAATTGTTCCAGTGGAGTAGTGTAAAGTGATTATAATATTTGAATCTGCTTGGAAACGGTTAATGAGTTTCCGATGGTAGATTTATTTCGTTACTAAAGTTTTCTGATATAGGGTTTCCTAGGAGACGAAAATCTTTTAGAGTATAAACGAATAGAAAATGAATTGATAAACTCGATTGGTGCAAAATTTAACACAATCATAGCTCATCTTTTTTGTCAAGACAATTAAATTTTTAATGCACCAATCGAATTATAGTTCTATTGAACAGAACAGAACAATGAAAGATATATGAATGAAGAGATGAAAATAATGCCGCTCGGAAATATACTATCCTTGTTTTCATGACGATGTAGAAGTCACGCGCAATTTCAATTAGCGAATTAACTCCTATAGTTTAAAAGAATACTGATTTTTAGTGGATAAATAAAACTCATTTATTTCTATAGTGTGTTCTGGATCAGACACATGAAGGAATATATACTTGTAAAAAATAACAAAAAATGAGCATTACTATAGAAGGAATTTTTCGAAAAGCCAAATAGAAGGCCACGCTCTTTTATTCTAAAGGACTTATCGATAGAATATGTATCGATTTACTGAGAAGATTGCCAATGTATGAAAAAATGTTACCCTAATTGATTAAAAACTATCGCTCACCTCGGGACGGGTGCGGATCACTTTTTTGTGATCCATGTCGGACACGCACATGATACTTTGCTAATAGAAATTCAAGAATATAACCAACACGAAGAAGTGCAAAATGAAAGTATTTGGTTCTTCTTCCCATCATGTTTTAAATATACTCAAGAAAAAACATAAAATTATGAGCCTTTATTGAACAAGTTATATGAATGCAGAAAAATTGTAGAACAAATATGAAAAGATGTAGTGAAGTCATTATATGAAGTCGCACAAAAATAAATAGTTATTTGGCAAATCTCACAAGAAGAAATAATTGAATTTCATAGAAATCTGGCCTCTTCGTTTTCATCTTGTCCACTTTTTGATTTGGCATCAAAAATAAAAAATCAGCAGTATCAAATTCCTATGAATTAATCCTTACCGAAAATTAAATACACATATTCGACTCGTTAACTGATGTAATATAACTAAAGTTTTGTATATTCAAGACACTTTAGCTGAAACGAACTTGAAAATATAATACACTGTTTTCAATAATGAAGTTATTTGAATTATTTTCAATTTTTGAAGAAATAAAAATAAAAGGTGAAAGAACTCTTTATGCATAAATCTATTTCAACATGCTGAACTACAAAGAAATTTTCAATGTTTCTAATCAAATATTCATGAAAGATTGGATCTATTGAAAAACCTGATCAATATCAGATTAAAACAATACCAATTTTTTATATAACGTGAAACCACTAACATATTAAGTCGTATTTTTTATTTTTCAGAAATTATTTCTATGAGTCATATTATTTATTTAGTTCTCTTTGTTTTAACATAACAAGTACGATCTTTAAGACCAACATAACATCGTTAAGAAAATACTAAGAAAGTAAAATTAAGGGAAATAAATTTGTCATATGTGGGACAAAATGTAAATGAATCATATTAAATTTGCTTTTGAAAATTTTCAATTTTTATATAGAACAAAAGGAAAGAATAAAGAAACAATAGAGTATTCTACGAGAAAAAAAAACTACACAGGTAATCTTTTTCTTTCGAAGGACATATTTGAGAATAATATCATGATTACTCATTTCTTATTATATTCACGTGAAAATTCTTCAACGATGTTGGAAGAAAAGAAATGTTTTTTTCTCTCAAGTCAACTTACATATTTATCTTGGCAATTACAATGAAATAAATACATTAGTCAAGTCTTTTCTAATTATTTTTTGAATCAAGCAATGACTGACAATGCTGATGAATTAACAACAACGACGAAAACATTTTGTTTTAGTTCTGGTGAACTTATAACTCTTGAAGATGATCAAATTGAAAAAATACCTTATTTAATTGCTCTCGTATCTTCTGCTCATAATTTTCAATCAGTATGTGATAAAAATGGACATTTTAAACTCGATTCATTGATTCAATTTAAACAATTTTCTTTTGCTATTCAATCACTTTCATTTCATTCAGTTCGACAATTATTTACTCATTTGCCTAAAGCAAATGATATCATATCTATAATTGCATTGTTAGATTTTCTTGGTATTGGACCTCAATCAGATCCTTCATTGAAACATGTTGATTCAACTTTCTTTTCAAAAGTTGTATATAGTCCTTTCTTAAACGAAGATTTACAAATAATTCGACTATGGGATATTCAAAATATGGCTGTTCGATTTGCTATTGCAATGGCTAAGGGAGAATATGATTTTAATAATAGGGAAGTAATCGATCAAATATATTGGTTTTTAATGTTTATTTTAAGTGCTTATAAATATTTCGGATCTCGTCTTCGCCATCATGTATATGGAATAGCTAAACATTGGTTTTCTCTATTCAAACGTTCTCGATTAAAATGTCTCCGAAAACTTGTATCGACAACAGAGAAAAATAGAAGATTTCGATATGGGATTAATGATGGGGACGCTGATCCTGATGCAGAAACCGAAGACACTATGGAACAGTTATTTGCCAGTAATAAAGTGGAATGGTTCTATATGAGTCGCCGTCCATCATTGCAAAGGCGCCGTGACCTTCTTAATCGAGAAAATTCTGATTATTATTCCGATTATTATTCCGATTATTATTATGATTATTATTCTGAATATTATTGCTACTCTCGTCTATCTTCGTGTTGGAGATCAATACGTGAAGATGATATTTTGGACAGGGCACGTGAACGTATAATAGAGATTATGTATATGCGTTTAGCAAGTCAAATATATCAACAAATAAGAGAAGCAATACGTAAACGTCAATTGAACTTCGAGCAACTAAAGAATGTTGAATCAATATTAGAAGATTTCTTCGAATGTAAACTCGTACAACAGGAAATGCGTGAGTGTATATTAGAAGAAATATACGATTCGATGTCCAAAGTGGAGAAAACATATGATAAGTTATTGAAAAAGTTACAGGGATATAATTTGAATGAAGAAATATCAAATCGGAATGATATATATTTATTCTTCGGGATATTTCGCGAGCGTCCTTTTAAATGTATTCAAGAAAAAGCGTTAAAGTATGAGCGCTTATTGGATAGATTACATGAATGCTCAAGTATAGTAGAAGAAATACGAAACGATGTAGTAAAGTCATTGTATCAAGTCATACAAAAACAAATAGTTACCTGGGAAAACACAGTAAAAGAAATAGTTGAATTGCATCGAATACTTTCAGATACGTCTACAATGAAACCAATATTCGATTTGTCATCAAAAATAAAACATAAACACTATCAAATGCCAATCAATAAGCCTTTATCGAAAATTCAACGCAAGTATTCAATACGTTAAGAAAAATATGATTAACGGATTTAATCATGTTCGAGAGGCTTTTAAAGGAAATGAACTTGAACATTCAATATGTTGTTCATGAAAATGAAGTTGTTTGAATGTTTTTCTATTTCTGAAGAAATAAAAGTAAAAGATGAAGCAACTAATCATAGAAAATGATATCTATTGAAAAATTAGGAAGATTTCATATTAAAATAATACTAATCTTTTTATGCAAAGTGAAAGCAGTAACACATAAAGTCGTTTCTAAGTTTTTAGAAATCATTTATATGAATTATATTATTTATTTTAGCTTTCTTTTCACATAAAAATTATGATCACTAAGGACAAGATAATATCGTTGGGAAAATACTAACAAAGCAAAACTGTAGGAAATAAATTTGTCATATTTTGAGGGTGTTGTAACGCATCTGTACCATGCGTTGTATACATGATATGTTTTCTCTTCTTACTAGTTCTTCTCATCGTATATATTGTCCTTATATTTTTGTCCTTATTTAGTGCCACGTATTGCACTTTATCCCTATCAGATTACATTTATTTTATGCCATTGTTGTCCTTTCCTTTGCTGTTATCTCAGTGACTTTTATGAAAGAGTATATAAGCGTATGCTTTGTATGTAAACAACACGATTCTTGATACGAAGAAATACAATAAAGTGTAGTTCCATCCGCATTAGCTCTTCTTCCATCTAAAATATCGTCACAGGTGTGAATGGGAGTTTCATAAAACTACCACATTCAGGGATTCATCCTAATTGTCTAGGAGGAATCATCAGGTGGTATAAATAAATCTGCATAAGATCTAAAAAAAACTCAATTTCAATTGACAGCATTAACATTCTCCAATATTAAATTGAATTCCCTAGATTTATAACAGCAGTTAGTCTTATGAATCTCTAGGTGAGTAAAAATAAATAACTAGCACTACCCTGTAGGATTTAAACTCAATCAGGAGAGAAATCATCAGGTGACTATTTTGAATCTACATGGTTAATCGAAAACTCTTAGAATTGAAAAGATTTGCAATAGATGTCTTCTGAAGCCGAATAAATTCTGGATTACATTTCGTAGGTAGTCCTATTGTCTTTAGGTTTTTGCAATTGTGTTAGATTAAATTTGAACACTTACTATAATGTTTATGAGCTGTTGGATGATGAAGATTTGATTTTGATATTCTTCTTGGTGTTTGTTTTTGTCCAAAGAATAGAAAAGTATTAAATATGTTGTTTTTGATGAAGAATAGAGACTTACTTATAATATAATGAACACTATGAATGAAAATTATGTACAAAATATGTAGCTTTATATACTGTGGCTTATCAGTGAAGCGGATGTAGTGCGTACGTGCAAAAATTTTGAGTGGGAATATATGTCGTTAGTGGGAAAATTGCATTTTTTTCCTAGATATGCGTATGTGATGCTATGCAATTGCGTAGAAGGGTGTGAAAGAATTTATGCTTGAGAGTTGAAATGTTTTGGAAAGATAAGAGATTGGTATTTTGTTGAAGATGAGCTGCCGTGACTAGTATCGACCTTGCTCATGTGTCTTATCACACGGCTTTAAACAATAATATGAATTTCATATGTTCCCCCTCAAAAAAAATAGTTGCACTCAGTATTTTGCATTTATTGTCATTATAAAAAGACATTTATTTAAAACCAATTACATATTCTGAAAGCTCGTGGAGTTTTCTATCATCCTGTATATTTACCTATTTTCTTGCATTTATTTATTGAAAAATAATTTGAGCACAATGAACGCACCCTCATGTTCAGATTCCTACAGACTTGATTTTGTCACTGCACTCAACATAAGTTTTTAAAATTCTTCATCACTATAGGATTAGCTTTTTAAAAAAGCAATCATATATCCGATAGCGCTTGAAATTCTCTATCTTTCTATATATTGCTCTACTCTATTATATCTATCTATTGTGAAAATAATTTGAGCACAATGAAAATACCCTCAATCAACAAGTACAAAAATTCAGTGTGTCGTATGTTTTTGCAATAGTATAGATACAAAGAAAATAGATTTTTACAACAGTAAGGGTGGGTGAAGGTGTGCGTTGGAAATTAATGTGAAGAATCACACCTACACCAACCCACACCCACACCCATTCTCGATTCTAAGAGTTCAAGGGTTCTAAGAGTTCCTACTGCATATAAATTGTACTGTATTGTTAGTTGAGGAGTTCTGAACTCGTGGAATCCGGTCACCTCTCATGATTTTGAATAAAAGTATTTGTTGTTATAGGATGATGTTGATTATATTATTAAAAATGGTTATTGTAGAAAAGGAAAATGCTAAATGATTTTTTTTTGTCACAATTCTATATTGGTTAAACAAAAGTTTATCTCGTTATACGTCGCAAACAAATAAATCATTTATTAATTTAATTGCAGATTCTCAGCAAAAAACAGGGTGTGGGTGTGGGTGGGTGTGGATGGGCGTAGGTGTGGGTGTGAATGTGTGTGTGATTGTTGGTATGGATAAAGTAAAAAGGACACACTCACGTCCACACCCACACTCATACTCACACCCACAGCCACACCCATAATGAATATTCAAATGCATAGTCATTTTTTCGTTTTGTAAGAGTCCTAGAAAATCGATATTTATCCGTTACTTCTATAACCTACTTCAATCGGTGAACAAAATATCTGTGATAACCTAGATATAAATACCTTTTTAGAGTGTGGGTGTGGGTTAGGTAAAAGAGAAGACCCATACTCACACCCACACCCACACCCACCCAATTCCACACCCACATCCGCACCCACCCACACCCTCAATTGCAATTCACATGGATTTTCTACATTGTTTCGATAAACCAAACGCCATATTATAATAGATTATCGGCGGATGTCCTAATCGAGTAAAATCAAAATTATTAATCGGATCATTGTAGGAAGAAATCGAGTTATACTCAGATTATAATCAAAATCGAAAATGGGATTTTGTGAAACAAAATCAAAATTTTAATCCATTAAAACCTAAATTATAATCAATATAAATCGGTTACAAGTTTCTGATAATCGATCGGCATTGATTCTAATTTTGATTATAATCGATTGAAATCTTGATTTCGTTTCACAAAAATCGGATTTTCAATTCGGATTACCTCCACGGGATTTTTAAATTTTAATCCATTTTAATCCTTAAAATTTTTCACTGCGCCCTACACATTTGAATAGTGATAATCGAGTATTTTTAGTTGAATGCTGATGTTTAGTTTTTAGATTCGGACAGATACGACACTTTAGTCAATATTCTCTTCCTAAAAGGTGCGGGTATGGTCATAACCAGACACCTGCACCTTCTCTTTGATAGGGCATGTGAATGTACTATACTTATAGATCATGTATTATTATACGAATAGACGTCAATTTTACCCAGTGAAAAATATTTACTTATTTTAATCGGATTTTTGTGAAACAAAATCAAAATTAAAATCGATTGATAATTTTGATTATTATTCATCATGACTCAACTATTACGTGATATTGTTACTTATGTAGTGTGAAATTTTCTGATTGAAATTGGATTATTCTGCAGCAAAATCAAGATTATAAATCGATTACTAATTTCGATTTTCCTGCAAATAATTCGATTTCAATCGGAAAATTTCGCACTACATAAGTAAAAATATCACGTAATAGTTAAGTCATGATGAATAATAATTAAAATTATCAATCGATTTTAATTTTGATTTTGTTTCACAAAAAACCGATTAAAATCAATAAATATTTTTCACTGGGTAGTCTCTAGTTCAATTTTTTGACATCCAAAATTAAAAGCAACTATCTTTAAAAATTCTTCTTCCATCTAATGTCCTAAATGTCTCAGAATTAAAAGGAAAGAAAAGAATAATAACAAGTATTAAATATGTACAAAAAAATTACCGCCTTTAATGTCGAAGATCATGCTGTAAAATGACAGTTTATATTGAATGAACACATTCATTTTTTCTGCATATGAAGAAGTTGATGAGCCCGTTTCAAAAGTCATATGTAGCTAACGAAGCGAATTCATAATTGGCAGAAACATTTGCAATATGTCTCTCTAATTAATAAATTTTGCTAGCATGTATAATCGACGATGTGAAGAAAACGTGGTAAAAAATGAGACATTAATAGAAGAGTGAATCGAAATAATGAGTCGAAGTCATAACAGAGTGAATGACTAACAATGGTGTCCCTTAAATAAATCGTCTCAATTCATGAAAATAAATACTTAGACAAGTAATGTTTGCCTTCAATCAATTGACAGATATCGGAAAAACTAATTCCATTACTATCACATTGAGATAAATCTAATGGTGAACAAGGTATCATAACAGAAAGTAAATAATTAATGCGACTATTAAGGCCAACCAGTGTTCGATAGATATCAATAGGTGTATGAAAATCCATAAATAATAACCAAAACTCGTTTGACAAAGATTCAAGACAAATAGTCATTATTGCTATATTCTTTGCAATATTGGTTATTATTCTTTTGAAAATGAATGAATTTGTACTTGCGTTATTGAGTTGCTGATTGTTATTTATATGTACGCTGTATGAATTGCTTCCAAGAATGATCTGTTTGGCCGGCAAGAAAAAAAAATTGTTTGAGGGTGCGTCATATCTCATTGTTTCTTTCTTTCTTTGTTCTCCTTGAACAATTATGACGAGGTGGATTTTTCAATTCGTATCAAGGTTCACTACATCACTCATTTAATGCATTATTAATTATGTTTGTTTCATGTTTTACGCTTCATTTTATATAAAAATAAACAATAATTAATTTTCTTCTAGAACATAGTCTAGTTTCGATTTCACTAACACTGCATACATTTCTCTATTGTTTTCTTCTGGTTTACAATCGAATACTTTCAATATTTATGAATAAACGTCCTCCATCTAGTAGTCTACATATCCTTATTCAAAGTTGCCAAATTTTTATTGAAAGTGCTTTTTTTCAATCAAAATGGAAAACTATTTGAGATATAA